GGCAATCCCCAACAGTCCTTTAGAGTATTGCTGTCCGTCAACTCACACATAGACACTCCCAGTGAGACCACACACTCTCCTTTTGTCCTCTCACTCGTGCACTGTCTTTCAGTCTGCCTCCCAATTGGCAGCTATCTTCCTCCCCCAACCTGGCTTCGTTTTAATGGTCATTATATTTAACCACCTTGATCCCTGCAACAACTCTCTTTAGGACATTACTGCCATGTCAATGGTGAGGAAGACTACACAGATATGAGTGATTGTGGTTTTGAGACATTTAAATACCATGACTAATAAACAGCAGATATGAGAGCTTGTTATTACATCACATAATTTAAAAATTATTTTGGAACTTTACAATCTGTTAGTTTCTGTACATCACCCACCTCAGATTCATGCAAGTAGTTGAAGCAACCCCTTCAGTTGGATAAAAGTGACCATTTTGATAATGTGGTTAAAGCTACACCATCTATATTTATTTATATGTTTATGTAAACATGAAAACACATTTTTAAAAAGCATGATAAAGTTTATTCATTTTCAAAGAAAACAAATTAGTTTTGAATTTTGAACAATTCCGATTTTAAAAAATGGCTATTGATATGAATTGGTCATAGTAAAGCCCATGTTGGTTCCATGTTTTCAATTGTCTAATATTTTAAAATATTATCTGTATGAGTTTATTTCTTATTATGTCTCTAAACATTATCTGGGTTTACTATAGTTTTCACATTATTATCTCACTAGTAGCCCTGCACACGAATCCATGTGCCAGTAGCCCATTGCCCTGCCTCCTGTTGCTCCTCTCCCTCCTCCACAGAGTTGGCTCCCTGCATCCTCCTGTAGCTCTCCGCTGCCCGCTTGTTAGTTTCTTTGAAGGCAGACATTTTTTTTCTCCTTTGCTTATATTTATAAGAATACAGGTTAATAAATTTGCTACTGTCCAATTTGCATTCGTTTGCTTATTTTTAACTTAGAAAAGTCATTTTGGAGTACAAATTTAAAACATAAATATATTCACCTCAATTAAATATTTTATTCCTAAGTACAGAAGTGTGAAGATTAAGAGATTAATTCTATAAGTCTTGCTACTTTTATCTGTGTAAAAAAAATCTCATATTAACATAGTCCCAAATAAGATGAAGAAATTATTTAAAAGCATATACATGCCGAAACCAGTTTGGCTCAGTGGATAGAGCGTCAGCCTGCAGACTGAAAGGTCTCGGGTTCGATTCCGGTCAAGGGCATGTACCTTGGTTGCGGGCACATCCCCAGTAGGGGGTGTACAAGAGGCAGCTGATCGGTGGCTCCCTCTCATCCATGTGTCTAACTCTATATCCCTCTTCCTTCCTCTCTATAAAAAAAAAATCAATAAAATATATATTTTTAAAAAAGCATATACATGGTACAGAAAAGTTAAAGGGTCTTTAATTTTAAATGATCATTAAAAATAAGCTTATCTGAGTGGCATTATACCAACTGTAATAATTGCAAGAGCTGAAAGGTCCCAGTGGTTTTGCAATGTAATGTCTGCACAACCACATTTAGCTTGTTAAGGGAAGTTACAACCCTCCCATGTATGAGACAACTGAACTCTTAACCATCATAACAAATGCTGGCCTTAGATTATACTGATTTAAATGAAATGTTTTCTGGATTGCTAAATAGTTATATTATATGTGTATAAATGATGCTAAAATTGCCTGCAAGGGGAAACACTAGTGTTCACTGAGCCGTGAAAGACACATTCAATTTGTTAGCTTATTCAACTTTTTAAAGTTTTTTGTTTTTTTAAAAAAACTAAAACAAAACAAAACAACAAAAATTCAAAACAGGTAAAATATGAATCTTTTCTTAAATGCAGAAAATAAATGTGTTTCGTTGTTAAACTGTGATATACCTACCTGTGGAATTTTGTTCATAATCTGTGTGTGTGTGTGTTTTTTTTTATATGTTTCTATTCCTCCTATAAAATGGTGTTTTTAAAAAGTTACATTTTTGAGGTACAGAAGGAAGGAAGCACGTCTGAGTCTTAGGTAGAGTGAGTTCACCCCAGCTTGTCTCCTGTACAGTCTCCAGTGCCTGGCCCTTGGGAGCAGCATCAGAAAGCTTCCGAGACAGATCGACTTGGGGGTCTGGAGGCATCCCACTGCTGAGTGACCAGGGGAAAGCAGAAGGGCCTGCATTTCCAGCAGGGACCCAGAAGACTTCGAGTGGCTTCATTACTGTTACAAGACCCTGCGGCATAGATGGGGCAGATCACTTTACACATATTTGACAGGAAAAGTTGCACCAGCTGTCTTCTAAGGCCTATTCCAGCTCTGAGAGACTATGGTGCTAACTTAAGCACTGTCTGTGCAGGGTTTCCTGTGTGCCAGGCAATGCTCTCTGCGTGCATATTTGTGATAGTCATCTCTCGAGAGTCTTATTCCTCACCTGCTTTAAGAGTGGGGCTTCTGAAATTTGGGAGGTTAATGAGTAGTTATAAATGCCCATGATCAGTAAGGGGAAAAGCCAGGGTTCACATGGGCCTCAGACTCCAGAGCCAGCTGCTCCCTCTGAGGTTACTTGTGTGCGTTCTTTACCCAAGACAAGTAGGTGTGATGTGTGTACAAGCTAGTGTACAACTCATGTTTCACAAAGAGAAGGAAGAGCTGTTTTTAAGGAAAGTGTCTATCAAATAATGTGATTTCCTGCCGAGAAGAGGAAAGCTTAATTTCAGTTAGCTTTTCACATCCGTTGTAGAATTAAAGTCTCATTATACAATCCCATAGTTTGGTCCATTTTATGAAATTAAGAAAAAGTAAACATATTTTGTTTAGAAAATTTAACTTAGCAAACCCAAACCAGACATTTTAGCCATGAATAATCTTGTCTGTGAGGACAATATTTATTATACAGTTGGAAGGAAAGATTGAAATAACAGTGTCTTTAACACACACTTTTTAAAAATATATTTTATTGATTTGTACAGAGAGGAAGGGAGAGAGATAGAGAGTTAGAAACATCGATGAGAGAGTCATCGACCCGCTGCCTCTTGCACACCAACTACTGGGGATATGCCCGCAACCAGGGTACATGCTCCTGACCGGAATCGAACCCAAGCCGACGCTCTATCCATTGAGCCAAACCAGTCTCGGCAACACACAATTTTTATTTTGCCAGTTTTAATAGAGATTTAGCCTCATCTCCCCAGTGCAGAGGGTACAGGTGGGTGCCCCTCAGAAGAATGTGCTTATAGTTTACATGTAGAGGAGGTACAAGGCCCTTTCCTGCAGGGTACGACGTCTGCTGGCACCACAAATGGGAGTGATTTGGCAGAGAGGAATATGGATCACTTCTCACCCCCTGCCACTCATTTGTCCCCATACACCAGCATCAGCAGTTCATTTTCCCCATTCCTTCTGTCCTTGCCAGATGTATTGTTTTTAATTTGTTTTCCCCTATTTCCATTCACTTAGCAAAAACTTGACCATTGAGTTAACATTTTTGTTACAGACCTGGTCCCTGGAAGAGCACCTGTCAGGAAATGCAGGCCCTGCTGTGCTTTTGAATGGGTTTTAAGCCTTCAGTTAATTAAAGAAGGTGAGAAGGTGGCCTCGTTAGACTACTGATTTTGTCAGACTCCCTCCCTTTGTCCCCTCCTTCACTCTCCTGCAGCCAGAGAGAATGGATTCTGCCCAGCTGATATCTTTTGAACCCAGTGTCCTAAGTTGTGTTGTCAGGTGTGTGCATATGAAAAGGGTGTCTGTATTTTGGTGATGTATAGTTTGCTGTCTGTCCTCTGGGTCTGAATGACAGAATTGGAAACATGTCAAAATGTCCTGACCTGTTCTGCTGTTTTAACTGTGTGTGTGCATGCTTAATATTTATTTGTTTTCTTATTTATGTAACGTGTCAGGTGGGCAAGAGCAAGTAGGAGATTTTAAAAAGCCATTTTTGTGTTTATTTTTAAAAAGTGCCATCTAGGAAGGGATTGATTTGAAAGTTTCAGTTGAGGAGTGAGAAGAGCAGAGGCCATGTGGTTTGTTGCCTCGCTCCTCCAGGAGTTGGGTGAGCAGTTGAGGATGTACTTGGGGCATTGTTCACAGTTCTGGGATGTAATGTGCATGTTGTTTCTGGTCATGACTCCGGAAGCTTCCGGAGCCCCAGATTCTGGGGTGGTGATACCTTTTTGTTTGATGAATGTGGGAAGTAGTAGAGCTTTTCTCTTGGTAGCTGCATGCCTGAGAATGTGGCTTTTTAAGTGGGGAGAAAAGTTCTTCCATTGAAGTTCAGAGAAATAGGAGGGCTAGAATATTTGTTTTTATTTCAGTCATTACCAAAGGCATTATATCTTAAAATGAAGATCAAGGAGTGTCTGCATCAGAATTCCCCATTACAAGGGCCTGTTACAAATGCGCATTTCCATACTTTGTGGGTCAGAATTTTAAAGAATTGGAATTGGAAGTCTGCATTTTCAGAAAGCATCTAAGGTGATTCTTGTGTACACTGAGGTTTGAAAACCACATTTATGGAGGGAGAAGCAAACACCACTGTTCAATGGTTAGACAGCAACTGACATCATTGGTGATGTTGCTCATGTTGGTCTATGTGTAGCAAGTCCTTTATAAAAATATATATAAAAGATGAAGCAGTTACCTGAACCTTTGGCTTCTGTTGAGATGGTCATCACCCTAATTGCGGTAGTGAAAATGAGAACAACTCATCTTGTTAGTTGTCCTTTGCCTGTTTTATTCATTCTGATAATTGATAGGCATAAAAGTCTAACGAGAAAATACTTTGGATCTTTGTGCTTTAATCATTCTGAGTAAGAAATGAGAATGTGTTAAATTTATATAGTAAAGCAGTTTTGGCAAAATGTGTTAAAATGGTTTAGTGGGTTGAAATCAAAATTTTCTTGCCAGAGTTATAGTGTGTAGCAAGTGAAAATTGTTTTAAATACAGAACGTAACTAATTTAGTAAAAATACTCATTTGCTTCCTTTTCTTTTTAAACAGGAAAAACTAACCCAAGAGTGTGTATTCAGAGAACAGTTTGAAGAAAACTGGTATAATACGTACTCTTCGAATCTCTATAAACATGTGGACACTGGAAGGCGATACTATGTTGCATTAAATAAAGATGGGACCCCAAGAGAAGGAACGAGGACTAAACGGCACCAGAAATTCACACATTTTTTACCAAGACCAGTGGACCCTGACAAAGTACCTGAACTATATAAGGATATTCTCAGCCAAAGTTGA